AGTCGTGTTGTTATTAAATTACTAATGAAGACTTTTGTTGATTGACATTACCTACAGCCTCGTAACTTGATAATAAATTAAAGATTGATTCAATACAGAGTCAGCAGATCGTGTTATACTAAATTGTATATTTTTAATGTAGGTAAGGTAGTCAATTATCTATTTTAACTATTTATCGATTCAGTACCTAACCAAGGGTTCCTATTATTAAAATATGACAGCCTTAAATAATAGCCAATCCAACTACAATTATATACATAAATATACGACAATCATAACGTCAGTTCGAAATCAAAACTACCTCTCATAATCCCATTCGTACAAATCCTTTTCCATTGTAAACGCGCCTTAACGCGTCGCAGGCGCAGCTGCACGATGCGCACACGCTACCGGTTCTGCGGGCTAACGACCCCCCCTCCCCCCTCCCTTGTTACCCGCCATCGATACTACCAAACGGAAAATTTTATAACCACACAATATTAGATTTACGTTTTCATTTTATAATAGATGTAAAATGTAAATGTTTTGTTAGACTGTGCTAGGATTTTGTTATTTATGTTGTGGAAATTAGAACAGTATTTTAGACTTGTTTTTTTATTATTTTGATGATGTTCTAGTCTACAATGGAGCACGCCTGCCTATAAGTAACCTATTGTTATTTAACTCTAGTAGGCTTAAAGGTATTTTTAGTCAATAACTAAGTCTATCGACTGCCTCGATGGCCGTGTGGTCGCAAGTGCGACTGCCGGGCAAGGCGACTCGGGTTCGATTCCCGGGTCGGGCATAGTATTACTGGGTATAAATTGTGATGACAAGGAATTCATTACTCTCAATTTCCGACTCCCTACTGCTGGATTCCACTTACAAAGCGCGGCAATTATGGCCTAGGACAGATTTAAAGATTAGACCTCGTCTATTCTTTGAAAGTGAATCCATAACACCTCAGTCAGCTCATACGGTTCCTCCATTCGGTAATACCGACACAGTCTATTCCCGCCGTCAAAGTGACATAGCAGTTTGGTGGATTTATTTATTGTATCCTTTTGTATAAAACTAATAAAGGATTAAATTATTATATTAAAGTGAGCGAAATTTCAAGTGTGGAGAGCCATGCTTCGTCACGCATGGGCCGGCTCGACCGGAGTGATACCACGGCCTCACAGAAAACCTCACGTGAAACAACGCTTACGTTATGTTTAGTCGTGTGAGTGAGGTTACCGGAGGCCCAATTACCCCCCCCCCCCTCCCCAGTCTTCCCAATTCCCGAATCCTTCACAATCCTCAAATTCCCGGTGTTTCAGGTGTCCATGGACAGCGACGATTACTTACCATCAGGTGATCTGTCGGCTCGTTTACCGGCTTATGCTATAAAAAAAATAAGTCAGCTCCATTTTGTCTCACAGCTATCACCCATCCTTATCAAGGGATCACACGTCGCAGTGTTCCATAAAAGCTGATCCAACTACTGAATTAAGTGATCCTTTTGCAAGATCACGTTAACATAGTTGCTGTTTCGCAATATCTTAGATTTAAATCTGTCTAAGTATTCTAGGTGGTCCGGTTTGTCTATCAGACTATTTTATCTTATTCAGTTTACAAAATATGTCAATGGATTGATGCATATCGATGCAATTGACTTGAAGTTTTTCTTTGGCTAAGACAATGTCAGTGACTTGACTATTAGATTGTGAGCCTTCTTTACATAAGAAGGTTTGCCATATTTTCCGTGAATGGGTTGGAATTTTTTTTTTTCGTATCGTCATTTCTAACAAATACAATTTTCTTTACATACAGTACATATACAAAACAGTTACATCGTTCATACGGCAAAATGCCCTGTCATTTTGCCGTATGAAGAGTACCTTTACCACAGAACATATAATCCTCCTTTATATGTTCTGTGACCTATACTCTTCATGAAAAATAATGACCATAAAAACGAATGCCTTTTCAAGAAATTTCAGGCATATTTCATAAAAAGTCTACTTCTTTGCTTACAATATAAACACTATGACTTATAATTGGATATTTTTGATACGATGACTGCCTCGTTGGCCGAATGGTCGCAAGTGCGACTGCCGGGTAAGGGGTCTCGGGTTCGATTCCTGGGTCGGGCAAAGTATTGCTGGGATTTTAAAAAAAAATCTCAGTATTAGCACGGAGTCTGGAATTGTGCCCGGTATATGGCAATAGGCTCACCCCCTATTACATGGGACTCATAACATAAATAGTAAAAAGTGGGTGTTACATTGTGCAGTGGCGTAATGGGATAAAAGGCGTGATGTTATGTTATGTTATGTTTTGATACGTTTTTGGAAATCTATCTTAAACAGATAATTAATAATCTCAAATGGCATTAAGCTTAAACCTAATAAACACAGGAACATCATCCACATCGTATGATCGTACTACTGTGTACTTACATTGCGAATCGTATAACGTACAAACGCGATTCTAAATTTAAATATCGATGAGGGAGCGAGATGGAGAATGTGCTCGTGCGCATGCATTGGATTGTAGTGACGCTGGATATGAAATTGAATTAAATTGAAATGCATAAGAAATGTTTAGCATGAGTTTTTGTTTTAATAGATTTTTTGGTAAGGAAATTTTTTTTTTGTTCAAAATTACTTATAAATTCTTTGACTCTTTGTTTTTTTTTTTAAACGTTGCCCTACATTATGTTTTCCTCCTATGTCATACGATTACATACATACAAGTTCACATACACATGGCACCCAGACTCGAAACAACAATTTGTGGATCACACAAAGAGTTGCTCCGTGCGAGAATCGAACCCGCTGCACGTTGCGCGGCAGCCGGTTGCTCAGCCGCTACTCCAAGCGTGCAGTCACTATTTGTACTTGTATCTACTGTACTGTAACTTACATTTCGAAGACTAAATATTCCATACTAAGTACGCTTACGACTTTGGAAGTCCAAAGGCGTAGGTACACACGGCCTCACATCAATGTATAAAAAACCAGTTTATCCTGGTGCCACGTCGCATCATCTTTCCGCACATTTAAAGTTCAGTTTATACTGGTTATGTAAAACTCGATGTGTAGCCGTGTGTACCTTTATTCTTTAATATTCTTTAACAAAGTCGTTAAAGGTTCACCTTGAAAAGTCAGCGACAATTTTATGACTCACATTGTTAAGTCAATATCATTGTCTTGACTCTGAACTGTTAAGTGTACTATTGGAAACTATATTCTATGTCCCTTGTTAATAAAGCCCGTCAAAATCGGTCCAGCAATTGCAGCGATTAGCCAGTACAAACAGACAGACAGACAAGCAGACAAAAATTGTAAAAAACATGTTTTGTATATTCACATGCATGTAGTAAGAAACGGTTATTTAAGTATTAAAAACAGATACTCCCATTTTATTTACCTGATTACATTACTTTCCACAGTATCTGTATTGCATTTAATGAAAAAATGTGGCTGCGAACTAAACAAAAATAATACTTTTATCTGTTTCAGAGAGTTGACGACATCAAAAATAGGTATAATAGAAAGGAGTACAACTCACGGGCTGCGCGATCTACTTACATGCGAGTTGATGAATAAGTCTTTCAAACACTAACAGAAACTTTAATCGTAATAAAATTAAAGTGCTATCCAACTGCAACATAATCCACATTAAACAGACTTGTCTTGCGCTCGCGCGCTCTCCCCTCCCCCACGTCCCCTTCCTCCCCCCCGTGCGTAAACGTGACCCCGAGACGTGAACTCAAAACTTACAATCTTTGTTTTTTATTTGAAACGCCTCCCCGATAGTGTGTCGTTATTGTATCGATGTTGCCCACTTTTTCGTTAAGTGGTAGATGCATTTTATAGTTTGTATGAGTATAGACTATTATTGAGTAATTAGATTGTATGTTTGTTTTGTTGCTTGTGATTGTGTTGGCTTTTGTTTAATTTGAGGTGAAGTATGAGTATGGATTTTATTGTAAAAAAATTATGGCCGAATATGCTCGATTTATAATACAAGGATCTTGTATGATATTATCAAACTGTAGACGCAATTTTTTTCAACGATTCAGTTTTACGAAGTAACAAATCTGATGATCCAAAGCTAAATTAAGTTCGGGATAGCGGGTAGATTGCCATATACAGAATAGGTATAGGCCCCGGCATGGAGCAAGGATTAGAACCGGGTTCAGTAAGAGTCTAAAACTTCTGCTTGCCTCGCTTAGGGCAGAAGGAATGATGAAGTTCTAGTAAGAAGGCCACTTTTCAGGCCCATATATTATCGAATTTAAATCCTTAAACTAAGTCGTCCTCACACTTACAAATCAATAGTTTTACAGAGCAGCGCCTTTACGTATTTCAGTATCACAAAAAAGTATTTACAAACAAACCATAACAAATTGATATTGCTATAAAAACTATTCTCATGTCAAACGAAAAAAAATCATAAAACCATTGTTGTGACACAATATGTCACACTGTCAAATTTCACTAATCAGTATGGTTTGTTATGTCAGAGACCCAAATTCAAGTTAATCCCAAACAGTTATTGACCTCAAAAATTATGTGCAGAAATTAATAGTAGATCACATTCCCAAACCGACATGTACCCAAATAACATCTTTTTATGGAAGATATTTTTGTTGCCATTCCGCAAAGGGGGATAAAACATAATGTAAGTACTTCAAAGTTATGGATAGAAATCAGTGTAAGATATAATAAAATAACTCTATTAATTCATAATTGTTTTGAAACCTAAGCTGTGAATTGCGAATTCTAATTTACAAGAATAGGATGTAATCAATATGAATATCATTTGATACTCATTGATTTCTCTCACTATGAGTAAGGTATATTGGTAAAATACAATTTCACAGGCATATTTAGGTGCCTATGAAATTGTCTTTTTGCAAATCCCAATATTATTTAGGATTGAAACCTAGACTACAGAAGCAGAAACACTTTTTATTATTGATATGAAATAAATCCATTTATTATTATTACATTTATACAGCACCTGCAATGGAGCAAATCTTCATGATCGAAGTGTTCGTCAAAAGAATCGTCTTAAAGATTGAACCACCTGAAAAAGATGAGTACGAACTGCAGCAGGAAGAGGAGGAAAGGCGGCGAGAAGCTGAACGGCTTGCAGCCCTAGAAGCTCTCCTAAAAGGAAAAAAAGGCAAAAAGGGAAAAAAAGGAAAAGCTAAAAAGGCGAAGGGGAAGAAGGGTAAGAAAGGCAAGAAAGGAAAGGAACCACCTGGACCGTCTGAAGAAGAACTGAAGTATATGCAAACATGCACTATGCAGATGAACTGCCTACCCCTCTTTGATTTTTATGTTGCACATGACAACTTCGTTGCGCCACCGCCACCTGCTCCTCCTCCAAAAAAAGGCAAAAAAGGGAAGAAAAAAGCGAAACCAAAGAAAAAGAAAGGGAAAAAAGGAAAAGGTAAAATAATGCCAATAAAGCTTCAGTTACCTTCCGAACCGTTACCACAACCACCTTACTTCGGGGTTGGTAATTCAGTCATGTTTTTATCGAGACCTTCAAAATTAGAAGAAATATTAAGGAAGACCCCGATCTACGTGACTGTGTGGAACAGAGATCAAGAGATGGGTTGCATAGGGTTCTCCATTGTGGAATGGCATGAATCATTTTTCGAATGCCTTAAAAAATCCGAAGATTTGAACCCAGTGAACTATGATCAAGCAGAATATCGAGATACTAGTAAACCAGAGATGGTCACCAATACTGTAGAAATGATTCGACCGCTGCAGTGTGAGGAAGATTTAAAGGCGTCGGGGGAAATTGAATTTTACTTACGACTAACATGTTTAGGTAATAGCGTGATCAGTTCATTCATAGCGCTGCCTGAGATGGAACGCATACCTGGACGAAAATACCTTTGTGATGACTTGAAACTTAAGGATGTTGAAGTAGTTAGACACTGGGAAGGTACTATGATAGAAGAGGTGCCACCTGTAGCTTATTTCTTTAGCGCTCCTGACATCACAAGGGAACCTATAAAACCAGTAGAGGAGATAGTACGGTATGAAGAATTCGTTGCTCCATTTACTCGAAGTGAGCTGGCGATTCTATCTATGGGCTTTCCTAAAGGACCTTGCGGTGGTACCAACTGTCCGAAGAGAATGGAGTATAGAGGCAGTCAGCATCAATTTATTCCAGGAGAGATGGTTAAAGGGAAATACCAGCACGGTCAGTTTGTGAATAAGCGAGATGTTCATGGTCCTTGTGGACGACTCGACTGTCCTCTAGCTAAGAAAGTTCGTGCATATATTTGTACTGACGGCAGTTATAAACCTTGCAAGAAACCATGTTGCAAAGACTACTATTAATGGTGATACGCATTTTAATCTAAATTGTTTTAGCAGGTGACAATAAAAAATTAAAGTAACAGAAATAGCAAATGAAATAATAAGATCATACTAAATTGTTTGTGTATTCACATGTTTTAAAAATAAAGGTATAATAAACTTGTAAGATAGATCAATCAATACGATGGTAAGACTAAGAATAAAAAGCGTAAAACATTTTTGTCTTTGTTTTTGTTTTCAATATTTTTTATGTAGTTTTCTTACACCACTGGTACACAATTATGTACGTTTTGAAAAAACGTTAAGTTTATTTGTGCTAATAATATTTTGGTCTACTTTACTTTATTGGCAAGTAGATTTGTTTCGACTTCTATTTATAAACAAAAATTGAATCTCAATTTCATTAAAATCAAAGTCAATGTGTAAGCATTATTATATTACTTAATCATTAATTAGGCACTTTTGAAACGTCAAAAATTGAATTGTCCGTCCGTCTGTCTATCAATAAAGCTAGTCACTCGTTCCAAAGTGTAGATTCAAATGAAGAAGAACGAGCAAAAACTATAAGTAATTATAAGCTCAGGTTTCCTCATGATGTTTTCCTTCACCGTTGTTGTCAGTGGTGTCTAGATAATCTTAGAAAGTACATATAACTCGGAAAAAGTCATTGGAACTTGCCGTTGGTAGGTTTCGAACCTGTCGTCGGCGTCTTAAACCTCCGGGCCACCACGACATTTATGTTCAGAACTCTCTCTACTTATACAAAATTTGTTTTTATAGGACAAAAACAAGTAATGATTCATTTAGTGCACTTTCTCTTTTAAACTTCGCACCCAAGGATAATGAGGGCAAAACAATTATCGCATGAGATCATCGTCAAGTCATTATTCTGAATTGAAATTGTATAAGACATAAAAATTATGCGCATTAGTTGCAGAGGATTACAAAAGAGATTAAGTCAAAACTGTTTTGTTTTACTTTACTGTTCTTTGCAGGCTCATCTATTAAATGTACAGTGCCATTGTTTGCCGAGTGGTGGAGCGACTGCCGGGCATGGGGTCTCGGGTTCGAATCCCGGGTCGAGCAAAGTATTACTGGGTTTTAAAAAAAAATCCCAGTAGTAGCACAGAGTCTGGAATTGTGTCCGGTATATGGCAATAGGCTCACCTCCTATTACATGGGACTCATAACATAAATAGTGAAAAGTGGGTGTAACTTCTGTGTGCACTTCTGCCTACCCCTTTAGGGATAAAAGGCGGGATGTTATGTAATGTTATGCCATTGTTTGTATGTAATTATTTTACTGTTATTTGTATGTCAATTTTTTCTGTATCTAATGGAGTTGATGATGTTAGTCTTAATAAACTCTGTCTGTGTTTGTGTCCTCACCAGAAGCCTTACCCACCTCACCAATATCAGTTGGTTTAAGATTTCTCAATGTGTAGACATAACAATGAATTTCTAGGAGTCTTCACAGAAAAGCGGCATTTCGGTTCAGCCACAACAAAACTAGTCTTTGATTAAGCTGCACTATCTAACATAATAACAATCAAAACCTATAGTCCTGTCATATTTACATCAACAAAACACCCTAAAACATTATCAATTACAGACGAAACCTCCAAATTAATAATAAACGAACGAAATCGCGACCAAAACGAAGTCGAACATTCGTAATAACACGTTTTGAACAACAATGACCATTTAAAAGTCCATAAAAAAATCTTGAACGTCCTAATTACGGTTTTAGCCTCTCGCGAAGCGTGACGCTGTCCGAATCTTACTAATGATGACAATGATTTCCAAAACCAATTTAATTTTACCATCATTCAAATACATACTAATCCTTACCACCATCACTTTAAGGTCTTTGTTAGGTCTGAGTAAGTGTATGGATAATTTGGTTTTCACATGATATGGGCCAAGGAAATTGAGTTTGCAATCCTTGCGTGCGCATGATTTTCTTGGAAACAGATTTTCTGTGAGTATCAAGGATTACTGTGTAGTTTTGTTAATGTTTGTGTTGGGTAATACCCTTGTGTATGTTTAGATTTGATTAATATAAAGAGATGTGGTACTAGCTTGGTATTATGACTGGTTCTTTGATGTGCTATATTTTGTACTTGCTGATGTAGCAACGCTTTATCATGGCATAGTAGCGCCAGCGTAGCAAAATCTTATTGTGGTATGCGCAAGCTAAATTTAACGCGACAATCGTGCTGATTTGCAAAATGATAGCATCTGTGTTAGAAGTAGTAAATAATAATAGAAGAAGTAAAGTCATAAAAATGCTACAGTGCGGCTCATAACACTTTTTAGGCGTGAAATGTTCTATTTAGATCTAGTAAATTGTTATGAGCGTATAGATATTTGAGGGAGATTTTAGCTGTTACAAAAGTATGATTGACAATCCCACCATCTGTGGACTAAAAATGTTTTGCTTAAAATACCTATATATGGTAACGATGCCCAATTACCCTCCCCCTCTTTCCCTACTCCCTGAATCCCCAACAATCCTCAAATTCCTAATCCCAAAAGGCCGGTAACGCACTTGTAACGCCTCTGGTGTTCCAGGTGTCCATGGGCGACGCCAATTGCTTACCATCAGGTGATCCGTCTGCTCATTTACTTGTTTATCCCATAAAAAAACGAGTCAACAAGACAGTCACATAACAATTATCTGTTTTTATCAAAAAGACCTTGCAACTACTGTCGCATACAAAAGCGCATAACGTAGCATTGTTTATGTCAATTTGAATGCATTAGACTAATCGCCGCAGTTGGTTATGGTCAGCGGTTCTTAAACTGTTTACTGTGTTCATGATTGTAGCTTGGTGTTGGATTTCTAACATGATATGATGCTATAAACACTCCAATTGCCATAAAAAGAGATGAGTAGAAATATGTAAAGATATATAGTTTAGATAGACAGTTTAAGACATGATAAAGTTGAGTACAAAAATCATGATGACCAAACCTTCGGAAAGAGAGCATACTACATAAGACAGCATTAATTGTAACTATCGCATTATTATTAATATCAAAACATCACGCATTATTCAAATGTATTTTATTATCAGCAAAGTATTACTGGGTATTTAAAAATACTCAGTAGTAGCACGGAGTCTAGAATTGTGCCCGGTATATGGCAACAGGCTCTGTATTACATGGGACTCATAACATAAATAGTGGAAAGTGGGTGTTACATTAACAGTGGCATTAAGTGCCGTAATGTGCACCTCTGCCTACCCCTTCGGGGATAAAAGGCGTGATGTTATGTATTATGTATGTATGTAACAGAAATAAACAATGATGTTGTCTTGACTGCACCTTATTGACAACTTTAGAATCAAAATCAAATCTCACATAGAAATCTTTGCCTATCACTGTTCTTACTATAAAACATAAACCATGTACTACAGATATATGGTAATTAAAATGGTTGTGGAAACTTCCTATGTAAAAACAGACAGTATATATGCACAAAGCTTTTATTAGTTCAATAATCGAGTTATGACTTATTGCTGTATATTATGGACGTGATAATGTATGACGATGACTGCTTTGCCGAGGAATTGAATTATGGTTTTGTGTGAACAGATGTTTGGATTTAAGTTAGAATAGGTCCTACTGTTGGTGTGTTTGTTTTAAATGGTTGATTCAGTTATGATGTAGACGTGTAGTTCCATAAAAAACAGGTTGTTAGGAGTACCAGGTTTCCAGCAGCTGTAGCCAAATGCCATTAAACGCTTGTCTACATGTACCTCTAGAATAGTGTTGTAATGCATCAAAATAATTAATACATAATATGCCGCTGCCTTCTATTGATAAGATATGTAAGCGGGTTAAAAATGTCATAAACAATAATCCTTGTCTATGTTTGTCTATGTTGTTTTTTTTATAATTTAAAATAAAAGTTAGTCGTTACTTGTCACTTTCAAGCGTCGTTTCATTTTAGGTTATGGGCCCAGTAGTCCCAAAGCATTATTAGTTTTAAAAAGTCTCCACGGTTCCAAGTGTAAATTGACGGAATTAGGTATTGAGTTCGAGACGTGTCGTATTGGATTCGTGCATCGTGTACCATGACATCGAACTACCTGGTCAATGTGCCCAAGTTGAAGGGGCGAGAAAATTACTGTGAATGGACATTTGCCGCTGAAAATTTCCTTGTGCTTGAAGGAATGGTTCACTGTATCAAGCCAGTTACGGGAAAAGAAGTTCAGGCTGAGGATGACTTGAAAACGAAAGCGAAACTCGTCATGACAATCGACTCGAAGCTGTATGTTCACATCAGAGATGTATCGACATCCCGAGAACTGTGGGATAAACTAAGAAGTTTATTTGATGATTCGGGTTTTACGAGAAAAATAAGTTTACTGCGTACTTTAACCTCGATTCGTCTAGAAAACAGTAACTCAATGGCGTCGTATGTTACTCAGTTGATAGAAACTGGACAGAAATTAAGTAGTACGGGTTTCAATATTAGTGACGAGTGGATTGGGTGCCTTCTTTTAGCCGGATTGCCTGAAAAATATATGCCATGATCATGGCGATCGAGCATTCAGGAATAGGTGTCACAACGGACGCCATTAAAACAAAATTATTAGACATGGCGGAAACGGATGTCAACGTGTGTCGTGAAACAAGTGCATTCGCAAGTTCACGGAAGTGGCAACCTAAGACCAAAAATAAGTCTATGGGCAGTGCTGACGGCCACTCATCTGTCAAATGTTACAAGTGTCAACAAACCGGTCATTACCGGAATCAGTGTCCGAACAATATAGTTAATCAGTTTCATGAGAAGAAAAGTGTTAGAAAACAAACCAACGCATTTAGTGCAGTGTTTCTAAATGGAAATTTTAGTAAGGAGGATTGGTATATTGACTCGGGCGCAAGTACACACTTAACAGCTAACGAAAGTTGGGTCATTAATACCAGATATGGACAGAAAGAGGAAATAATTGTTGCAAACAGCAACAAGTTACAAGTTTTATGTACCGGCGATGTAAATATTATCACGA